ACCTTCATGGCATGTCTCCAACTCACTTACAAAATGGTTTTGCACTTCGATGCAGCACTTTGGAGCTCCCCAGCACCTCACATTGGAATGCCAGGAGACCAGGGAGAAGCAGCGAAATCATGGATTGGACCAGGCTTCATCTCAGAGCTCCTTGCCTGCTCTAGCGCTCATTCAATTTCAGCTTAGTTCACAACATCCTGCCTTGCCTTTTTATGCTTTGCCCCCTCAGTCAGAGTTTAAAGGTGAGAGTGCTTCTGCCGTGTCTTGCCTTTTAGTACAGACATAAAGTGAGGCAGCTTGTCATGGTGGTCCGTAGTGATTATTTAAGGCAGTGAGCATGTTGTTGTCTAGCTCCAAGCTACGTCAATGTCACATCTGCACCACATGCCTGCAGCTTATGCAACAAAAGTGCTGAATGTGAATCAACGAAATAGCTATTTTTCAAAGTCCAAAGGGAGTAGTCCACAGTCAGACCGAGGGAGACAGTTTTCAGTCAGGGTGGTCCAGCACATGGAGTCAAGGGGATCGTCCCATATTAGTCCAGGGACTGGGATGCAGTCAGGCGGCCACTTGAGGTGATCAGGGTCAGGATCTTCTCTTCGTGCGGAGTGATGAGCCAAACGTCAGTCACCCCACTACCCATCTTGATTCTTTCTACCCTACTGTAGGCTGTTTTCTCCTGCTATGAGGTAAAGGGAGATGAAAGTCGGCTGCCCAGCCGTTAGCGCTGAAACAGGTGGGAGAAAGGCGGTAAGTTAGTGAGTAGGAAATGCTTTGACAATGCAGAGTTACATGTGTGGGGATTTGAGGTGGGGGCTGGGTGGGTGAAGTGATGGCAACTGTTGCATGCAATAGTGAGAGTGGTAGAGCATGATCCTTGGTGGGAGGTCTGTGCAGTAGCAGAGATAGATTGAGTGTGAGATAGCAGAGAGAAAATGGTGTCACTTAACCTGGCAGAGCAGAGAATGTCATTGACATTCTTCCTACACTTCTGGGCATATTTCCAGATAGCTAAGACTGTACTCACCAGGGTGGCAATCTCGAAGCAGGCTGGCATGATCTGGTGTTGTGATCTCCTGTGCCAGCCCTGGGACAGGATTCTTCTGTATGATACCTTCAACCAGGAACTCCAGATGCCAGTCTGCAAAGCAGGGTGCCAAAATCCCCTTATCTGCCATGCCCAGGACAATTGTCACAAACTGTGCAACTCTGAACTAACAGTGCTTGCCTGAGTACGTAACATCTTTTTCAAGATGCTGCTGTTGCCGGGGATGCTGCTCCATTCTGAATAATCTGGCAGTGGCAAGTTCTTTTGACTATGGATAGTGGCAGAATTGGGCTAGTATCAGATAAGGGAGCACCATTGGGGAAGGTAGACATGGACTGCAATGGTTCAAGAATACAGCTTACCATCACCTTCTTAAGGGCAAGTAAGGATGAGTAATAAATACTGAACTACTCAGCAATGCCCACATCTCATGAATGAATAAAAAAATGTAGTTAATGAGGTGGGATTTTTGCTAGGCAGTAGTGAGTTGTCAATTAAGTGGGATTATAGCCTGTTAAATGTCGAATGAATGGCACAATTGCCTCATTAATACTCAGCTTCCTATCTTATCAAACACACCAAACAAGCTAGACATTGAGATATCTTTACATGGAAACAAGAATGGCTACCTGGCAACTTCAGCCCATTGCTGACACAAAGACCCTTCATGTTGATCAGCAGCAAATAGCATCTCAGGGCATGATTATCTGGAACCAACCTCCCACACTCCTCATCCATGGACATTGACATCCAGTATGTGTGAACCTCTTGTGACCATGATAGCATTTCCCCAATTCACTTGCAAGATGCTCAGGAAGGATAGACTTGCAAAGCAAGGCGCATCAAAAACTAACATTGAAAGTCTGGTGCAAGGACACTGTGCACAGGGACAAGCATCCAGCTCACAGATTGAATCAGGCTGTATCTCTGGGCTGTTTACTTGCTCTCTTAGCATTCACTTGCATGCTTATCTGTGTGCTGAGCAGCATTATTGGCTTTAAGCACAGACAAAGCAGGAACCCATAAATTCTACCCACAATTTTCTTGGTGGCTGAAATTTTATTGAGCAGTGTTGACAGTGGTTTTGTGAAAAAGTGTTAAATTCAGAAATCAGATTAGCTGTGATATTTCCAAACTCTACCTCCTCAATTGATGTTTGAACATGCTACTTGATTACCAAGTCAAGCACTTATCCTAATGAAGGTTTCTCATCATTTTTCAAGACTATGAAAATACAGGCAGCCATTACAGTGACAACTATCACTGCTTTTTCCTTCGGCCTGATTTGAAATAATGCAAAACTATGCACTGTTACCTCCTCAATTGTTATCTCTCCTCTCACATCAAAGGTAAAAACTTGTGTTAGGATAATCTCAAAAACTGGTACCACACAGAATGTGTAGAAATAGGCCATTTGATGTAAGGGAACATCGACGCCCATCCTGAACATGTCCTTGCCTGAACTGAATATGAATTTTTCGATGAATAGTCAATGGATGCTGCTAGTCAATGCCTGTTGTGTATCTTATAAGGAAACTGTGAGACTTCAGCTAATGGAAAGTGTGTCCTAGAAACTAGTTTGAGAATAAGAACTTATGGTCAATTGAGTACGCGACATATGATCATAAGAACAGAGATAATGTGCTGGCATATCTAATGGTGAGCTCTGTTGGTTACCATTCATTTATGTAGAGATCCTCATAACTGCTAGCAAGAACTCAATCCATTCTTGTGTCAGTTACTGAATGCCCACTTTTGTGCTACCTTCCTGTTGCAGATCCATGGAGGTTCTTTTTGGGCTCGTAAATTCAGTAATCTGATCACTGAATCAGATAGATCTACAGTAGTAAATAATATAACAATTGGACAGACTTCAACTAAAGAGAAATGTAGGACTTGACCTGTAACCAGGTGGGAATTCTGTCACTTGACGATGTATACCCCAACAAGTTAATGCCCTAACAGAGAGGATGGTTAAGTCAGATAGCACTATTTAGGGTTATTTTAGATAATTAAATGAATCAAAATGAATTGAAGGGAAATGAGAACAAGGTGGATATATCCAATTGGTGCCATTTTCTTGACTGAAGGCTAAAACACTGACGGTCAGGTTGAACTGAATTATTTGATTTGATTTATTATTGCCACATGTACCGAGATAAAGTGAGAAGTTTTGTTTTGTATGCTAACCAGACAAATCATACCTTACATAAATACATCAGGTTAATAGAGCAGAATGCAGAATATGGTGTAACAGCTACAGAGAATGTGCAGACAGAAAGATCAACTCTAATACATAACATGTCCATTCATAAATCTGATAACAGCGGGGAAGAAGCTGTTCTTGAATCTGTTGGAAAGTGTTTTCAAACTTTTCTATCTTCTGCCCAATGGAAGAGGATTGAAAAAAGTATAACCACTGTGGGATGGATCTTTGATTATGTTGGCTGCTTTCCCAAGACAGGAGAGTCAATGGAAGGAAGCTGGTTTTTGTGATGGACTGGGCTGTGTTCACAACTGTCTGTAATTTCTTATGGTCTTGGGCAGAGCAGATACCATACCAAGCTATGATGCATCTGGATAGGATGCAACTATAAAAATTGGTAAGAGTCATTGATGAATTTTGTTGGAATTATGTTGTTGAAGCTGGAGCTAAAGTCAATAAATAGTCTGATGTAGGTGTCTATGTTATCCAGATGTTCCAAGGGTGAGAGTAGGCTGAGGGAGATGACATCTGCCATAGACTTATTGTGAGAGTAGGTGAACTGTACCAGATCGAGGCAATCTGGGAGGCTGGAGTTGATGTGTGTCATTACTAACTGCTCAGACCATTTCATAACGCTGGATGTCAGAATCACTAGGTGATAGTCATTAAGGCACGTTGCCTAATTTTTCTTTGGCACCAGGATGATAGTGGTTTTCCTGAAGCAGGTGGGAACCTCACATCCCAGTAAGGAAAGATACTCCCTCCAGCTGCTCCACACAGGATCTGAGTGCATGGCCAGGGACTCCATCTGGGCCTGTTGCTTTCTGTGAGTTCACCCTCAAGAAGGCTGATCTGACCTCTGTGGCAGTGACTGTGGATACAGGTGCACCTGAGGGCGTCAGGGCAGGTGACATCATTTCACTGATGGTTTCAGACAGAAAAATGCTTCAACTGTTTTCAGTGGCTTGCTTTGGAGATTCCAGAAATGGTGAATTTACACATTGGTTGCTTGGATTACCAGTTTAAACAAAAAGTCAGTCATGGAAGTGTCCTTAGCTGCTTTTACTCTTGATCATTCAGTAGCATCAGAGTTAGTTGCAGTAATTCCATGTTTACCTCAGCTAAGATCAGCTCATACATTACTGAGACACTTGGCATCTCCAGCTTTGCATGAGAAACTTATTTACCCAAAGAGGTATTGGACTTCTCAAATAGAATGTTGTTCAAAACTGATTTTTAATTCTGTTGACTAAATATTGACATAAAACAGCATCATATCTTCACAAAATACCCTGAAAAATACATTTTTTTCAACTCTGTACATGTATGACTCAAATATAACAAGAATGTGCAGTAGCCAAACAGAATCTGCTATATTAACATCCTGACTTGGGTAAAAAAATTCCAAATGCTACTTGTTTCTATAGCTGTGGTTTTCTTCTTTCTGCATCAGATTTTAATGTGACAGGTTCGATGTAATTTCTGTGAATTTGTATAATGACAAGAATTGAAGTCTTTTGCCAAGAATGCTTTATGAAGTGTTATTTTCATTAAGAGTGGAGGAGAGTGATGGTATACTGCTAGCATGCACAAACGAGGCGATAAGAGTGTTTCCACCAAATAATCATCATTTTACTGTGTACCTGGCAAAACATGGATTTTTTTTTCTTGAGCTTGATCATTCTCTAAATTAGTGAATTATTTTCCCATCAGCACTATTCAACAATAAACATGCTTCCCCTACAGGAGTGAATCAGTGGACAATGTCATTGTAAAAGAAGAGGAAGTCCAGGCAACAGGGAAAACTCCAAGAGATCTGTATAAGGTGAGAATATTTAAAGCTTTGTTTAGGAGCCATTCAGACTTACATCACAGCAGAGTTTAAATTTGTGTGTTAGCCTTTATTGAAAGGCTATGTGGAATATTGTGTGTTGAGTGCACAAATTACAAAGAAACTATAAAGAAAATTGTTACGCATCTGCCTTGCTGTATAATTTAATCAGCTAATCCATCTAAATCTTCATATGGTCCACTGTTTAATTAAAACTCATTTCACAATGATAAATTTGAAGAAGTTACTATTAATTTCCAATGTATCTATTCCCTTTCTAGCCTACGGACAGAACCAATTGTAATAATTCGATCATTACCTCAGCTGAGATTGGCTTGCTTATTACAGAACAGAGTTACACATAGGAATCTCCAACTCTACACAGTGAACACATTTCCTACTTGAGTTATTGGAGTTTCCAAATGGAATGTTGTTCAAGGGCTGAATGATGTCCTCTTGTGCCATAATGAATTTATGTCTAAGATTGATTTTTAATGGAAATAGAAGGCTTGCATTTATATTGTGCTTTTAATGACCAGTGAGGAATTCATGAAGTGCAGTCACTGTTTTGGAAATGTGGGAGCCAATTTCTGCTCAGCAGGTTTTTGTAGACACCGGTGTATATTAACTGGATAATCTGTTTTGTTATGTTGGTGAATGGTAAAATACTATCCAGATCACTGGCACTAACTTGCCTGGTCTTCTGCAGAATAGAGCTATGGCATCTTTAACAGTCATGTGAGAAGACAGATGATGTCCTCAGTTTAATGTTATCATTTGGAAGACCATGCCTTCAACAATGCACTGATCACTCAATACTGCCTTGAGTGTCAACCTTCATTTTTGTGCTCAGGTCTTGAACCCACAATCTTCTAGAACTCTGATGGAGGAATGCTATCAACTAAGCCACATCTTACATGACTTAAATAGTGCCACAAAACAGCTCTAAATCTTTAGAAAATATGTTGTACCAGCAACTTTTATAAAATCTATAGTGTTATTAGGGATTAATAGAGATCACAAGTGATTAATAATGAGAAAATAATAAATGCCACTCTTACCAAGTTGGTAAGGATGCTCACAGTTATCAATATTCCTTTCTGTATGAGCTGCCTTGTCTTTTATGTCACTTCCACTTTGCACTCCTTTTTACACTCTGGTCCTAGCATTTTCTGAATTACCTATTCTGAGCATATTTTTATGAAGCCATGTTTTATGAGGGTTTCTGTCTCCACCATTGTTGCAGTCAGCGAGTTCAAATTCCCACCTCCTTGTAAGTGAATACGTTTTTCCTCACATCTCCTCTAAATCTTCTAACCCTTCCTTAAATCCTTATCCCCTGGACATTAATTCCTCCATCAAGGGGAGAAGTATCTTCCTGTCTAACCTATCTGTGATGCTTATAATTTTATATATCTGAACCATGTCCCCTCTCAATCTCCTCTGCTGAAAACAAAACATCCCCAGTCTGTCCAATCTCTCTTCTTAACTGAAACACTCCAGCCCAGTCAACAACTTAATAAATCTCTGTTGTATAGTCTCCAGCACAATCACATCCTTCCTATAACATATAATCTATCTTCCCCACTTTGTAAATTATTTTCTGTGTTCATTTGCATATGTGTGTATGTGAAATACACCAGATTAAATACAAGAAAATCAAGCTCTTGTCTTTTCAAGACTTGAGAAAATCTGTTTGAGTCTTTATAGCCACGACACGTAAACAGTTAAGCACTCACTAAACTGGCAAGCAATTTCTTAAAAAAAACGGTGTGGTCAAAGAAGAGTTGGAAAAGAGGGAAGCCATTCCATTGTTCCTTAGCTGATTGCAACAATGCCCCGGAGTCATAAAATGTAATGCGTTGTGGTGTCTTCATCGCTTTCTGAATTTGCTGTAGCTATGATGGGACAATGGCAACAAGAGAACGAGAAGTACATTTTCTTCTTTTGAATTTCTTCTCATGCTAAATTCAGGATTTAAATTCAGTCAGACAGTTCTGTATTTCTCAAATTTTTCAATAAAATGAATTCATTGTATGTTCAGTGAAATAAATTAAGTGTAACTTCCTTAGCGGCTGCTCAAATTTATCCACTTCATCAATGCAAACCCATTTATCAGTTTGAGAAATTGCCTACTTGATGATGGAGATCCATATTTTGGATTCTAATTTTTTTTTCTGATGTATATATCAGCCAAGGCACTTCTTCACACAAAGAATAGTGAAATTCTGGACCTCTCTCTGGCAAGGTACTGTTGAGGCTGAGGCCAATTGAAAATATTAAAACTGAGAATTTTATTAGGTAAGGTATTAAGGATTGCAGCAACAAAGTGAGTTGATGGAGTTAAGACACAGACCGAGCACAATCTAATTACATGTCAGCGAGGGTCCTGTTTCTAGGTTCGGTACAGCTTCTCAATCAGTGTGATGCACTAGATAAACTGATTAAAGCATATTTGAATTGAAAAGCATTCCAAAACATTCTAAAACATTCATAAGAGTTATTCATTAGTTAAGTTCCAAAGGGCAGCAAAAAAAAAAGCTTTAATTGCTATTCAGATTTTGTTATCTTCTGCTTTGTTTGTCCCAGTTCGATTGCCTGTTTTCTAATGCCTAATAAAATCATGAGAAACATTTGCATTGAGATTTGTCCATGCTTCCTGCCAGCTCATTGCAGACTATCTAAACAGTGGGCAATCAGGTTGTCTGAAATTGCAAGTCATGGCTTACATTGGAATTTCATTTTTGATTCATATTGTAATCGAATAATTTTGATGTATACATCCAATCATATTACCAGATATCCATTACCTGTTTACAGGTTTAAAGGAAAAATCTCAGATATCATCAATAGAACAAACCAGTAAAATAAATAATTGAGTTTTATGCATGAATCATGCTCTAATTTTCAATGCTTATGTCAGAAATCACTATTATTATTAATATCATGCATAACTGTGAATGATTTAAATTAGTCAGTATGGCTTCTTTACAGTAATGGAATTATTTTCTGAGAATTTAAAATAATAATTTAAAATTGCAAAAGGATAAATGGACTACTTAGCTATTTCACACTCATTGGTTGTAATGTCATTATAACCTTCTGCTACAAATTTGAGTCTGCCATAGATATTCTCTTGTGTTCAGTGGCACAGGACATACAGTCACATAGCACTGAAACAGACCCCTTCAGTCCAACTCATCCATGCCGACCAAGTTTCCCAAACTAGTCTCATTTGCCCGCATTTGGCCTATATCTCCATAAACCTTTCCTATTCATGTCCCCTGTCCAAATGTCTTCTAAATGTTGTAACTGTGCTGACATCTATTACTTTGAATAGCAGTTCATTCCACACATGAACCCTCTGTATGAAAATGTTGCCCCTCAGGTCCCTTTTAAATCTTTCTCCTCTTACCTTAAAAATATGCCCTCTGGTTTTGAAACGCCCTATGCTGGGAAAAAGACCTTTGCTATTCACTTTATCTATGCCTCTCATGATTTTATAAAACTCTACAAGGTCACCCCTCAACATCCTATGCTGTAGTGAAAAAAGTCCCAGCCTCTCCAGTCCTGGCAACATCCTTGTAAATCTTTTCTGCACCCTCTCCAATTTAATAATATCCTTCCTATTTGGACAATTTTGTACCTCTACCTCATACTACCCAATGTCTACCTATAAAATAGTATAATCCAAGGAATGTAACAAAGTGCTCCTTTTGTCATGTAAATGTTACCTCAAAGTCATACATGCTCTATGTGCTCTACTTCAATCTCTCAATAAGCAGAACTGATGAAATGAGTCCACCTACAGATCAGGAGGGTAATTTTTCACAATTCATGTCACTGAACAAAAATAGCAATTCTAGATTTTTTTTTTCAATTTATGCAATGCTTATGATCATGGCAGGAAACAAAACCACGAAGCCAATGGAATATTTATTTTTCTGGCTTACTCCCTTCTGTTGTCATTTCTAACCGAGAAATTGACGTGCTCTATCTTAATTCCTATCTTGGACCAAAATCTGCATTCTTACAGCTTTTGTTTGACCTAGATGATTCTGTACAAATGTTTTTCTATATTGTTGTTCACTCTAAATTTAGAAAATTGAATCTCACTAGCTTGACTTTCCTGCTACTTCTGCTGTTCTCAAATAAATCGTAGATTCGTGCATTACATGGAGGCCATTCTGTTCTTTGCGCTTGTGCTAAAAAGGGAAGAATTAACATATGCACATTCATTCCCATTATTCTAAGCATGCTGACTTTTACAAATATTCTGATAAATTATATCTACTAGTGGTGCTGTTCTGTGGCTATAACGCCTTGAGAGATATATATAACTTTTAACTACAGCTCAGAACAATTTTAAACATGTATTACAACAAAGCCCCCGATAGGTTATGTAGTCAGAAATTTTGGAGCATGAAAGCTCCCCCAAGACCAATGATTTCACCCCAGGATTTTAAAAGGAGTAAATGAGAAAATCATTGGAGCTCTAACCTTGATATTTCAAAACTCTTTCAGTAGTTGGCTTCTTGGGTTGGAAAACAGCCAGCATTGCTCCAGCATTTAGGAAGATAGGTGTGATAAAGCAGGGAAATAAAGGCTTATTAGTCTAATATCTAGCTGTTGGGAAGTTACTACAACCTATTATTAGGTACAGAGAAGTCAAGAATTTGCATAAGTATAAATTGATCAGATAATTCAGCATGAATTTATAAAAGGAAACTGCCTGGATTTTTAAAAGGCAACTAGTGTGGCAGGTAACAGAGTATTTATGGACATTATTTTTATGGGGGACCAGGAGACATTTGACAAGCTTCAATACAAGAGACTATATGTAAAAGCAAGAGTACATGAGTTGGAGGCAAAACATTTGCTTCAGCAATGTATTGGTCAAGATGTATTATATTTGTTTCTTCAATGAGTATATTCATTCTGAAGAGTTTGATGTGGAATTACTTGGGCATCCGAAGTGTATGTATGGAACAAGT